AGGTGGGTGTTTTTGGATGAACTGACCAAAGTCATCCCTTCCCTTGGTATACACTTCGCACCCGCAAAGCGTGAGGTCATGCTTCTGGACATGCAGTTACTTAACACACCATTTGTGGAGCGTTTTGCGTATCTGGGAAGTGGTATTAATTCTGAATGTGATGTATCCCTGAATCTCAAGGGGCGTATGTATCAAGCTACAGTGCAGGCTGTTCTTCTAGTGCGTAGTGCAATTAATTGTGCTGCGAGGCGGTCCGGAGGTTAAGTCGTACTGTCCTCCGCGATAGGAGTGTGAAGGCGGTAAGGCGTTTCCCCCAGGCGACCACCATGTCTATAGTTATGGAAGCAGCGTTGCTGCTTTCCTCCGGGGAAGGACGAGTTAGAAAAGGTCGGCCCCCAAAACGGCATACTGCGATCGCCAAATGGTTGACCGGAACCTCAGGCGCATTATTTAATACGGTCGAAATACTTTTAAAACCAAAGAGTCCGGTGCTGCTCAAAAGGTACCTGCTGTGTGCAGCCGCATCAGGGGTGAGACAGTAATGCCCTACTCCCTACGCCCTCGTGGCAGGCTGGCCCCTTACAGCCAAGTAGGTCAGATAATTGAGTCATTGGCTCCGGGAAAGGTCGCTCAAGAAAACCGTAACAACCGCTGTCTCGCGGTCCATGCTCTTGAGTCAGACTAGGGGAACGGTCTTGAACAAAACCCTACGTCCCCTCACTGCCTTGTTGGCCAGACTTTTGAGTCGAAGGCTCAAGTTGGGGTACCTCAACTAAACCCGCTCGACCTGGACAACCGAGAAGTATCATTTTCCCCTGCAGGTCTTCGCCCACCGGACTTCCCCCTCATTCCCTCCCAACCTGTCGTACATTGCGGTGCAATCTACCCAGCTGCCCATCCCCAAGCAACTGCTCTGTGTCTCAACCATCGCCCAGGAAAATAAACCAAAATAATCACCCACTGACCTCAAAAGCCTTTAATGTCCGTACTCTATGTCAAATTGGACAACAGGCATCGCTTGCCTAAACCTTACTTTCCCTCTCGATGTATGTTGTGTCTCCGAAGCACGTATACAAGACCCCACTTCGGTCGTGCTCCTCAAGCCGCTTAGGACTAGCCCAGGTGTTCCACACTTCAATCTTCGGGTATCCGGTAATTGTGACGCAATAACTCGTGGTATCTACGGTGTGGTAGTTGCACTCATCCCCAAGGCTGAAATCGCTCTACTGGACTGGATCCCAGTAAACGGTCGCCTTTGCGCTGTGCGGTTGTCTAGCTCAATTAAGATTAACGCAGGTCGATTTGATGTTTGCTTGTCGTATCAGCATACGCCCCAAAAGATAGCGGTTCTGAGACTGAGAAGGGTGAGTTTTTTTCATCAAGATATATCACGGCTGCTTCGGTCGGCAAGAAGGACGGATATAATAATCCTGGTGGGTGTTATCAATGTTCAAGTTTGGAAGAGGCACAGTTAGGTGGTCGATTTGAAACCGATGCTGAGCGTACAAATAATAGAGAGTGGCTTCTTCAGTCGTGTGCAGATCAGTTCCTGACCAGCGCGGGCTTCCAACACAAACGCTCTCACTGAGTTGCTTAGGGGCCCCCCAACACAAGGCAGTCGTGGACTCAATTGGACCATATAGCTATCCGTTACCGATGAAGAGCCTCAGGAAAGGATTATCGTTCCTTCTGGGGTGTGTAACTCTACTCTGATCACGCCGTCGTGCGGGCCAGCTTAGAACTTCGCTTTACCCCGGCGCTACGCGTGACGAAAGAGAGCAGCTCCGTTCATCAACTTCGACAAGTTTCAGTAGCTGAAGAGTAGTGGGCTGATTTGGCTAGAAAGCTACTGGAAACGCACACTCATATGGATGACGATTGCTTGGAGGATGAATGAAGGCGAGTTAAAGAAACAATGCTGTCAGCTTTCAGAACTGTTTGTTCAGCCCATCTGACTCGACTCAATGAACATCTTCGAGATCGGCAGATCTTATTGCTGCCATAAAGGCCATGCCAGGAACTAGCGCACGCAGATCCCTCAAATACCGAATAATCAGGGACTTGAAGAATGGCAGAGGACGCTTTCGCTGCAGGCAACAGCCGCACCATGTTTCAACTGATTTGCTCAACGGGTCAGAAGAAGGCAGGTTTCGGTGTGACAATATGCAAAAAGACTTAACAGCAATTCACTTCCTCAATCGCCATCTCGAGCGGTGGGGTGAGCCCTTCACCTGGTCTCCTTCAACACAACCGCTGGAAGAACGAAGCGGGCATAAATGGAACATTGACACTAACCCACCATCAGTAACCGAAATCCAGCGCGAGATTTCAATCCTGAAGCGCGACAAGGAACCTGGTCTGGATAGTCTACACCCGACAGTCTTCAAAGAAGGTGGCGAGGTCCTGATGAGCCATCTGACAACCATACTGCCTAAGATTTGGAACGAAAACAGCATACCAGTCGAATGGAGCTTTTCGACCGTCATCCCAGTTTTCAAAAAAGAAGCAACATCGTCATGTGAAAACCATCTTGGTGTCAGCCTGGTATCCGTCGCATCTAAGGTGCTCTTTGGCATTATTTTGCGCCGCTTGATGAGTGATCGGGAGAGACATACGTGAGAATCAAGCTGGATTTCGCCCTGGTCGAGGATGCGTCGACCATACCTTCACCTTGAGACAAATTCTTAAGCAGCGCCATGTTGTGTACGACGAGGGTCA